CAATCTTTCATGTTAAACTTTAGAATAATCTTCTGGTATTATTACATTGATAAAATATTAAAATCTTACAAACACAAAACTAAAAGAAAAATACAACACATAATTTATCTCTCTTTCTTATTGATTTTTGCTTCTTTTTATACGATATATTACGTAGAAATATTTCAAATTATTATTGGCAAGAAAAAAAACAAAAAAATATGAAGACCTTCGATTTGCATACAAAGTTGTTTGTGTCTTTTCCCCTAGAAAAGTAAAAAATAATGAAATTGTGATGCACACAATGCCCTTTCATGGGTAACTTAGAATGCCATTCACAATTACGACGCCATTTAAATATACTTAGGACAAAAAGACGTGTAAATGAATTGTTTATTGTGATTTATTATTGTTTTTACTGACTGTCATTACTCTATATATTACTAAAGTTACTAGTACTAAATCATCATTTTCTTTAGACATTGAAATTATGTTTTGGACATTTGCATGTCTACTTTCACTTTTATATTCTATCAATTCGCAAAATGTCAATCCACCAGGACATCATTGGAATTATGAACGAGAAGGACCTGATGCATGGCATCATATGTTTGAAACATGCGAAGGTGAAGCTCAATCTCCAATAGATATTCGAACAGTTCATGTTAAATATGATTCAAGTCTTACTTCACTTTCACTTAATGGTTATACAACTAACATGTCTTCATTCTTATGGAATTTTACACATAATGGACATACAATTGTTGCTTATCCACCACCATTAGCTCGTTTATCAATGAGTGGAGGTGGTCTACCAGAAGTTTTTTATTTGGTTCAATTTCATTTTCATTGGGGTTACAATGAATTTCAAGGTTCGGAACATACAATTAATGGACGAAAATATCCTCTTGAAATACATTTTGTACATCGTGCACCATTTACAGGAATGTATGCTGTTCTTGGTATTCTTTTCGATCGTCAACGTGATGATAATCCATATTTAACTAGTTTATTATCAGCTCTCAATCGTACTGTCAATACATCAATATCTGTTGAACACCAAATTGATTTATCTCGTCTACTTCCAACATCACCATCACCTCGTTTCTATCGTTATAATGGTTCATTAACTACTCCACCATGTACAGAAGGCATTATTTGGACCGTACTTGCACGAACTGTACCTATTTCACCATATCAGCTTCGTGTATTGACTAATAATATAATTCCGTTCAATTTTCGACCTCCTCAAAAATTACATTCACGTAAAGTTCTTGCTAATTTTCGACCAGAATCACACGAAGGTGGTGAAGAAGAAGAAACAGGAGGAGGTGCACATCATTCTTCAGCATCTTTTAATCGTATTAAAATAATAAAATTAATTCTTTTATGGTTTATTTCTGTTCTACCAATTCTTCAATAATATTTTGATACGATAAGAAGAACATGAATAATTGACTTATTTATTTTCGATCATCAGATTTTAAATTACAAATAAAGATCTAACAAATTTATAATTATGTATTTAATAACAATGATCCACAAGATCCATTATATTTGATTTTTCAATTAGTATTTATTAGTTCTTTTTTTTTCAAATTTATTTATATGAGCTTGTGCAAGTGTTGATTTCATTACTCAAGTATTTTTTTTTTTTGAATAAAAACAATAAAAGATCTGCTCATATCTCTTATCCACTTACAAATAAAGATGATTTGGTATTATAAAATCACATATTTAGATTTACACTTATGGTTCGAAAAACTAACCTTTTGTTTTTCAATAAATAGTAAAATTCACATACAATCAATAATAGATACAAATGTCATGTTTTTTTTATTGCGAAGTGTCAACAGCTTGTGCATTGATTAGTCAGCAAACTTTTTTTGTTTCAACTATTTTTAGAAAGTAACATAGTCAGAAAAATATGAAATTTTCATTAGTTTTTTAATTCTTTCGTAGAACATATATGAATATGAATAAGACGAATAATATAATATAATAAAATGTCTAAAAGTTCAACAGTCTAGATAACTTTTAAAATGCATGCACACACAGTATAAATATCAAATAAAAAAAAAATTGGTATTTATCGCGACATTGATAAGTTCAACCCGATTGAGAACTTGTACTATCTATCATACATAGATTTCGATTTTGTGTTTTTTTTTTAAATATTTAATATTACTCATGTTGTAATTCTATTAGGAAGTAAACATTCAAAGATTAATTTTTCTTTGTACATTCAGAGAGACAACAAAACAACATCGCTCTACTATTTATAATTTTACTTTCATGTATTAAACTTATTTTATGATAATTCAAGACGCAAAGATTTGATCTATTTGACTATAACAGTTTCCATGTTTGTTTTTTCGGGATCGAGAAATGTTCACAGACGATTGTTGGTACAAATCTTTGAAAAGAAATACATTCAAGTTATTGATTTTTGCTATTTAATTCTTTATTTTTTTAAAAAGATTTCAATTATTTCACTATTTTCGTATGAATGCATCCTAAAATGGATGGAAAGACTGATTTGTTTTGGAACTTGATGACATGGCTATAAATAAAGTTTACTTCTTTGCTAAAGGGCATTATTACGTTATTGTTTTATTTTTTTCACTTCGACATATTGTTCATGACGTTTTTCGAGTAAAAGGTTACTTTTTTATTGCACTTTGCATATACATCAAAACGAACGAAATTGATTCTATCTAAAAATAGAAGCACTTTGTCTAATCAATTTTTATATATGTTTTCGGCAAAATAAAAAGAAAATCTCTTTAGTAAAAGTATTGTTGTTGTTGTTTTTGATGAAATTCCGAATTGGTAAACTATGAGTATGGAAACGATAAATAAGAGGAAAGTTCAGCACACAAAACAAAAGAAAGTAAGGGATGTGGATAGGAACGGGAATGAAAAAGAAAAGACTAGACATGCATGCAAATCATTTCGGTCATTTTTGCTTGAATGAAGAAAAATGCTCTTATTTACTGAACCATACGACATAATATTTTGCTGTTAGTAAGAAATTGAAGTTAGGGAATCACACTAGAGAATACCAAAAGAGTGATTTTGGCAAATGTTGCTATACTACGTGTTGGAGTCAATAGAAAAATCCCTACTCAATGAGTTTCAATTTTTTTTTCAGTTTCTTTTCAATCTCTTATTAAACCAAATGGTTCATTGGATCATTCTCCATTTGGTTGACAAAGGTAGACATATTTCTATATTTATGGTGCAATAGTTTATTGTTATAGTTCATAAGCAATGAGATAAATTTGAAATATTAAAATTCTGTTATTGGGCTTGGACGCATGTCCAGAGAAGACTAACATTCACGCCTCTTATCTCTGATTTTTGTGCGTGCTTAACTTTTCAGTGCTGAAATTTCTTCGTGCTTATCGTTCATCAATATTAATTATGTTAATATACAAGGTGGTATTGTGACAAAAAAAAGTCTTCAGAGTGTGCATGTGTAGAGTATCAAACGCCGAATATTTTAAATTAAAGCTGAACACTGATTAATCGAAGTTGACAAATTTTTTGGAAAAGCTGTGAGAACTTTCTTTTCTTTCGATAATATCTTCATCGAAACTCCATGCTATGCTTTGAGACATAAGCTCATGAGATTGAGGTTAATCTAAAATGAGTATTGAAATGATGTATTTGATGTTAAATTGTGTGGTGTCGAATTCACTGAGAAAATTTATTCCCATCTCATCTGATTTTCTAATAAAAATAAATTCCTTGACCCAATACAACTTCAACAACATACATATTATGCCTGTATTCATTTCATAATACAACGAATCTCTTGATCGAACCCAATGCCAAACTATGGATTGTTTTCGTTCAATTGAATGTGTAAAAATGAATTTTAGCTATAAATAATTGATATTTAATCTAGATGCTGGCAGCGTTATTGTCGATTTTGTATTATCCATTATATAATGATATGCAGATATTTAAATTTCCTGAAAATTGGAGTCATCGTGCTCTCAATTTTTTTGTTTTCTTTCAAGAGATATTAGTGCTGGGAATGTTCCCACATCTGATTACATTCTACAGCATTTTTTTCTCTGATTGTGTACTGCGGAAAGAATTTAAAGAACAATTTGATGAATGTGAACCTAACAAAAGATAACAGATCATTACGAGGGGATAAAGAAAAATATGATTATTTCAAGTCCGCAAAAATTTAGACATACAAAATAAGAAACACTATAGAGAATAGACTGGTGAATAGCACAATTCATGACAATCGAGAAACAATGAACCTAAAAAATTTCTAGAAATTATAAGTCAAATAATATAACTCTTTGAGGATCTTTCCCTTTATAAAGTCTTGATTTATTTATCAGAGCTTCTCAAATACAGTTGCTGACATACAATTCATTCAGAGAGTTATTGATCGATACTAATTAGTTGTTTTTATCGGTGACAGTCTGAGATCTTAAAAAAAATCAAAACTTGGACGAAAAGTAAAACACTTTTAGCCATGAGGAGAATACTCTATCTTCTATATCACACAGTTTGTTATTACATGAAAAGCGTATTAATCGATGTCGAATCTTCTGAGTTATTGATGCTTATCACTTGTGTCTTCCCAGTGAACTGTTAGAGACCGTGAAAAACATTCAATACTTCAAAATAGTTGTGAAACGTCATAGATGATTAAAAGCATTTCCTCTGTCTAAAATTGCAGACGATTCATGGAAGCATGAAATTCATGTGAGTCGATGTTAATTTTGACGGACTATCGAATCGTATGTATTTTGTCCTGCCGTATACCATCAGAGGCTATAGACAGAGAGAATACTTTGAATAATTATGATCTTTACTGGTAATTCAAAGTCTTTCAGCATGTTGAGAATCTCTGACGGTTTGTTAGAGAAGAGAGGCTCTGCTAATACGAATGAGTAGCCTGAGAAATTGAACCTTGTATAAAAAAGTTTCAGATCATGTGGAAACTGAAATTGAGTCGTTGTTAATGTAGTGGATAATTATGATCAAAGATGCCAATCAAGTAGAATACTGATGTCGACACCAGAATAAAAGATAGTAAGTATAAAGCATATATTTTCAGAATGGTGGTAGCTAATGACCTGCGCTTTCCAGCAATCGAATGAAGAAATATTGTAATATTTTTTTCTAGAGTAAAATGAAAGGCAAAATTATTTTAGAACCAATCATCTCCGCAAAGCATTCAAAAAAACCTATATGAAAATGATCGATCTCTTCAATTTATTTTTTATAATCAATAAGAACGCTTGATACAATTAATCCATTTCCATATTATTCAATCGAACAAATACACAATGTGTTTTTCTCAACATATGGACACAATGAGTAAATAATGATTCAAATTGTATCTTGAACTATATAGATCTAAAGTATCTCTATCTAAATCAAATATCCGAATTGAAATTTCATCTAAACGACAGACTAATTTTATGCAGCTCCTTGAGCACCTTGCGAAGATGACTGCTTCTAAAATGATTTTATTTTATGCATTATTCGAGACAGAACTGGACAACTACGGACTTCTCGAGTACGAGTACGTACTCGTACTTGCCCAGCTTTGACTTGAGAAAACTACTTTGCAATATTTCCTTTTTTGATTGTTGCGAATCGCTAATCATAACCTACTACTATTCTTGAAATATTCGTCTTATTCTCATTTTTTTGTCATTTATTTTGCCGTCGACATTAGTTGTTGTTATATTTTTAAACGTAGTAACTTCCCGAATACGATCTATTTAAAAGTACTGAGAAATGATATACATAATTACGTTTTTTTTTCTTGAAAAAAAGAGCCGTATTTTTATGAGTCTGGTCATCGTAAGGAAATCTAGATAGTAATCTGTAGACGTCGCTGATGATTCATATGCTAGATTTTCATTGCTTACTAAAATCGACCCATCCGGTTCACGTTTATGGTAGCTTTTTCACAGTGGTTATGATTTCTTGATTCGATCGTATCTTATCTAGAACATCATAACGTGAATGTTTTACTTCTTTACTTCTGCACATCCTTGATGATGCATGCGACTAAAAAACTTTTTCTGTCATTCTATTCTGCATATACGTCGAGACGAACAATATCGATTCTATGTAAAAAAGAAGCACTTTGTTTAACCAATTTTCATATACCTTTTCAAAAAAATATAAAAAATTTGTCCAGTAAAAGTGGTGCTCCTATTCAAAATGCTGCTGTTATTTTTGCTGAAGTTCCATCTGACTATCCTGAAGCTGGCAAACATATTAAATATGTTAAAAATCGAACAATTAACATAAATTATGTTAATACACAAGGTGGTATTATAACAAAAAATCTTGTCATATCCATTGATCCATACATGAGAGGACGTATGAGACCAGCCGAAACAAAAAGTTATGTAGAATCATTTGAACTCAATCAACCATTGACCAATTTCTTCGTAGGTAAAGTTGTTAAATCAGATAATAATAAATATAAAGTTGGTCAAGTTGTGTATGGACAAGGAGCATATGAAGAATATACAATTCATTCAAAAGATCAAGCTGAATCACTTCGTATTTTAAGTGATGAACAACTTAAACTTGGTTTATCTTTAACAACATGGATAGGAGCTGCTGGAATGCCAGGACAAACAGCTTTCTATGGTTTCTATTACATTGGTCAACCAAAGAAGGATGAAACAATATTTATTACTGGAGCTTCTGGAGCTGTTGGTCAAATTGTTGGACAACTTGGTATGTCAATTTCTTTCTACTAAATTGATTGTGTCTGTTACTATCAGTTTTCTCAAAGCAAACAAATTTTTCTTTTTGGAAAAAAAAAATTTTGTTTTTTTGTACAATTCAGAAAGTCAAGCAAAAAAGAAAGATAGTATGACGTTTATTTACTGTAATTTTAAAAAGATAGGATATCAAAATATGATTTATCTTTTCTTCATTTTTAATTTGTTTTTTGTTTTGTTTTAGCTAAACGTGAAGGTCTTAAAGTGATTGGATCAGCTGGTACAGATGAGAAAGTACAATGGCTTAAAAATGAACTTTCTTTTGATCATGCATTTAATTATAATACAGTTAATGTAAGAAAAGAACTTGCTAAATTTAATCCATTGAATATTTATTTTGATAATGTTGGCGGTGATCAACTTGAAGCAGCAATTGCTGTTGCTGCTGATCATGCACGTTTTGTTGAATGTGGTATGATTTCACAATATCATAAATCAAATGATGTTGGCATTCGTAATCTTATATTGGTTGTTCGTAAACGACTTAAACTTCAAGGTTTTATCATTTTTGATCAAACAAAAGATGAAAATTTTAATAGAGAATTTTATTCGAAAGTACCGAAATGGATTGCTAATGGTGAATTAAAAATTAAAGAAGATGTTACAAAAGGTTTAGAACAAGCTCCAGAAGCTGTTGTTGGAATTTTTAAAGGAAAGAATTTTGGCAAAGCTGTCGTTCAAATAGCTGATGATTAAACAATTTTCTATACATTGTTTTTTTTTCTGTAAATTTATATACACTTGTTATAGCTTATATTTTAATAAAATATTTTCATAGAGAAAGTATGTATAATTTCAATGCATATAATGGCTATTAATAAACATTGATCGAGATAATATCAACGAGAATTTTTAGATCCGTTTATTTTAATGATCTTTCCTTTGAATTTCATAATGGTTTTATTTTTTTGAAAAAAAAAGAACAATAAAATAACACAATATATTTAATAAATAAGAAAGAAATAGACATACTCTTCGGACAACTCGTATAATGTTATGTTATGCATTGATGTATGGTATTCTAGTAATTTGCTCTAAAAGAGTATTCAGACAGGACAATTATCTGTCACTATTATTGATGTGTCATTTTTTATCCCTGGATAACAATACCAAGTGTTTTCTTGTTTTGTAATGGTTTCTGACAGACGCATAATTGAAATTTTTTCGTATATATCTCGTTACTATCAAGGCATCTGTATTTCTGATGGTAATTTGTATTGTGTCATTAGTTCGAATTGCATGTCAACTAAGACATTTCGGCCTCGACCTTCCGATTGAAGCGCGTGTGGCCATATATATATCGTATATCAACAGTTCTTTTATGTATTATCTTTTCTTTTACAATTATTTCTTTTTCTGTTTAACAGAACGTCCTTCAGATCTAATATATCATTCATCTTGTAGTAGAGACACAAGTTACATTTGTTATCCTTTATCTTCTAGTACTCTGTATTGCATTCTCAATAAATATGAATATATTTTCAATCTCATTCTTTCTTTACATAATTATCTATTGTGCGAATACAGCACCTCCAGTAAATACAAATGGAGCAAGTATGTTTAGAATAATGAGAAATTAATTTTATAAAATAATTAATTTAGATACGGGTTTAATTGCAAATGGAAAATTAATTGATGAACTGACATGCAAGACGGATGATGGACGAAGTAAGTTGTTGTTGTTGTTGTTTTTTTTTTTTTATTTCTTAACATATTTTCTTTTTATTCAAAATAACAGTTGAAATTCCACTCAATGGTAAAATGCGTGTGGGTACAAATCCTTGCAAAGGTAAAATTTAAAAAAATCATGATAAATATAACAATATATATATATACATATATATGATTATTTGTTTAGTATGTACATGTACTGCTACGGGATTTTTATGCGAAGATCAATGTGAAACAATCCCAGGATCAACTTCAATAGGTACTCCAGGAGGTATATTTATCTATCTCATATGAAAAATTTCTTTATTATATTAATCATTTTATTTTAGATAGTACCACAACTGTGTCAAGTTCTACTTCACCTTCACCTGATCAAATAATACTTTCAGCTTCATTTGTACCACAATCAGTATCAAATACAAATTCGAATGGTGCTTTTGGAACAGGTCCAACAACGCCATCGTCAAGAATTGATAACTCTGATGACGACACATCAAATACGATTGGTGGTGGATCATGTGCTCGTATAGCAGTTAATGGATTAGCACCCTCACGTGAATATGCATATATGGATTGTAGTGAAGTTTATCTAGCTGGAAAACGAACAAGTGGAATTTATGAAATATGGTAAGAAGAAAACTAAATATAAAGATAATTAATTTTATATATATGTGTATATATATATATATATATTAAAAGGCCTCGAACAAGTCCAAAACCTTTTCGAGTTTTATGCGATATGGATACAGATGGTGGTGGATGGACAGTTGTTCAACGTCGTGGTGATTATAGTCAACAATCAAATTTTTTTGTAACATGGTCATCATATAAACGTGGTTTTGGTGATCTTACACGTGATTTTTGGCTTGGAAATGAAAAAATTCATGCATTAACAACTCAAGATGAATATCGTTTACATATTGATATGGAAGATTTTAATGATCAAACACGTTTTGTTGATTATGAATGGTTTTTTATTACAGATGAACAAACAAAATATACATTAAATTTAGGACGATATATGACAACATCAACTGGTGGTGATTCGTTATCATATAATCGTGGTATGCGTTTTACAACACGTGATCAAGATAATGATCAATCTATGTCAAGTCAATGTGCAGAAAATTATAAGAGTGGTTGGTGGCATGCTGGATGTACATTAGCAAATTTAAATGGACTTTATTTACGTGGAAATGATTCAACTGCTACAGGAATTTTTTGGAATAATTGGCTAGGTGCAAAATATTCATTAAAAACATGTGCGATAAAGGTTCGACCATCTGGTTTTAATACAGAAATGCTCACGTGAATAAGACACGAGTCCTTTTTTCTTTTTGCTTTTGTATATTATTTCATTTTATTATTGAATGACAAACAGAAAGAAAAAAAAAGGCCTAATTGCAAACGAATAAGATATGTTATCTTATACAACAAATCTTTATGATTAATTTCAATAAGAGAAACGAGATTAATGAATAAATAATTTCAGATAAATAAAGATGAACTTTAACATGATTTATGTTAAATACTTTTCTACATAGTAAAAATTAATTTAGTGAATTTTTAAATTTGTTTTAAATTGAAATTAAATTAATACACATATAGTACGATGTTTAATCGAATGAGAAAAGTTCTAATTATTAACTATATATTTTCTAATTTAAAAAAAAACCGCTAATATTGATTTTTGAGTAGAAGTTAATATTTGAAATTGAATGAAATAGTATTTAACAGTTAATTGTAAACAATTTATCATTTTTTTTCCTTTGCTTTATATATTAGGGTATCATTTGTCTTCTTTTTTTGTCGTTCTATCATTTAAAATATGGAAATAATGCATAAATGTGCTGTCCAATGATGTATAATTTCATTCCTTCTAATTTCCACCTCTAGAAAATATCATAAATAATTCATTTTTAATTATTTTAAATGTTTAATTTATTTATGTGACATAAGAATTATTTCAATTGGTCGAATAAATATTAAGAAAGAAAAAAAAAATCATGTAAATTATATGTTACATTAATCATCTGATGGCCATCTATATAACTTTCTTTGGCGCTAGTTTAAATTGCTCTTTTTTTAAAGTTGATAATAGCAATTTTTACGCCTTAAAAGAATAAATATACTCACATAATATTCATTTATATTTTCACAATAATTTTATAATAGAATCATTAGAATTGCACATTTGACAAGTTATTTTAAGTTCTAATTAACTTTTTCAAGACTGAATAAGAATACAATAAAATAAAAAATAATTTTCTCTATTTACCTATATGCAACCAATTTTCTATTTCTTACTAAAAATACATCAAATTTTATTATTCGATAAAGATTTATCTTTTTCCTAGACTTAATTTATTTAATCTATTTATTATTGACCGATGATAATACCTATCAAAAGAACGAATCAGTTTTTTTTCCTATAAATAGGTTATGTTAATTGATTTAAGATAAATATTAATTTTGTTATCTACTCAGTGATTATTCTCACGATTCCACCATTTATTAAGTGGTATCAAAATGGTGTTTGAAAATTTAGTTGTCTATTTACTTGATAAATATTTGGGTGATTATATTGAAAATTTAGATACAAAAAAACTTAAAATTGATATATGGAGTGGTAAATAAAAAGAAAAATGAATTTCTTTTATCATTAAATTTTTTTTCGTTCTTAGGTAATGTTGTTTTGGAAAATCTTTATTTAAAATCGAATGCATTGGTATAATTTATTTTACTAATTGCAAATATATAAATCGATCTATTTTTTTTAATTTTTAATTATAGGCTGATTTAAATCTTCCTGTAACTGTATCAATTGGATATTTACGTATGTTGAATTTAGTTTTGTTTTATTAGAAAAAAAAATTATCTTTATTTTCGTTTTAGAAAAATTAACACTTCAAGTTCCATGGAAAAATTTATATACACATCCAACGAAAGCAACAATTGATGGACTTTTTTTACTTGTTGTACCTAAAACTGGTCTATAGATTATTTTCTTTTTTCGTTTTGTTGAAAGTTTTGTTTTGTTTTCTAAATGTAGAAGTTCAATATGATGCGCAAAGGGAGGAGAATGAACAACATGAAGCTAAAATGAAAGAAGTTCGACAAGTTGAAGAACTTCGAAAACAAAAAGAAGCTGAAAGTAAAATAAAGATAAAATTTAAAAAAAAAATAAAGATTATCTTTTTATTTTCATTAACATTTAGAAAATGCCAAAGAAACTGGTAAAACTAATGATACATTTGTTGAACGTATGCAACTTCAAATTATTCGAAATCTTGAATTATCAATTCGAAATATTCATATTGTCTATGAAGATAAATCAACTAAACCTGATCATCCATTTGCACTTGGAATAACACTTAATTATATTACACTTCATGTATTATATCAAATAAATTTTTATTTTTTATTTTAAATTACAAAAAAAAAACAAAACATTATTTTTATTCTATAGACAACAACACCAGATGGGGAACCGACTGTACTTAAAGAAGATACACCATTGATTCATAAAGTAAGAAAAAAAAATTTTTTTCGAAATCAAAAGCTATTATTCATATTGGTTTTAAAATAAACAATAGTGAATCTATATTCTAATTGAAAATTTAATTATTAAAACGATCTATTTTTATTTTAGCTTGGTGAATTAAGTGCCTTCTCAATTTATTGGAATTCAAATGCAAAATCTCGGTCAGACTTACCAAGAGATGAAGCTATTGTATATTAATTATTTCATTTATTATTCAAATTTTAATTTTTTTTTTAAATAGAATGATCTAAGAGAGAAAATTGCAATTGATAATCAACAAGTACCATCTGATATTGAATATAGTAAATTTTAATGTTATTTTTTCTTTTTATTCACTATTCTATATAAATTTCATCTAGTTCTTCGACCACTTCATGTCAAAGCAAGACTTATATTAACAATGAAACCACGTCAAGAACATTTCAAACAACCTATGTTTGATGTTAAAATTGATTTAGATGAAATTAGTTTAAATATGAGT